CAAAGACAAAAACTCTGCGTCTGCGTGAGCCTGAAGCCGCCCACTCATGCTGCCTCTGTCTCATTTCAAAGACAAACTCAAAGGCATTTACCAGGTTGACAACGCTCCCCCTTCAGGAGAAATGGGATGGAGCAACTCTGTCCTCCAAGCAGATCCTGTCACACCCTCTCCCCTCGCTTGAGGAGAAGTGACTCTCAGGTTAAAACAACACCCACCCAGTCATCTCTCTCTCTCTGGAGCTCATGAGATCTTGTCCCTCACAGCACAAGTGTTTCCCAACACGTCCTTTGGTTTTATCCATGCTCAGGATGTGTGGGTATTGCTGGTTGGGCCCGTATTTATTGCCCAGAGCGGGACAGTAAAGAGTCAACTGCACTCTCTGAGGGCCTGGAGTCACGTGTAGTCCCAGATCAGGCTCAGGCCGTAGATTCCTTTCCCTGAAGGGTATCCGTAAACCAGAAGGGTTTCTTTACCGACAGTGGATTTCTCAATTGTATTCGAAAACATTCCAATATGGCGGGGAGGGGGGAATTCCCCAGGATGATACCCACTTTTTCATGGAGACTGGTACTGTTTCACAACCATTTACCCCTTTTTTCTCTCTTCCTCACCTCAGATAATTCTCCCCGTCCCTCGATCTCCCTGGTCCCCGAAGACCCGGTGCTCCAGGTAGGGAGTTACGTGGAAATCAGGTGTGTGGCTCCGAAGGGATATAGCGGGGGGCGCTTCGGAGCGAAGAGGGGTTCCAGCGTGATCCGTTGGCAAACGGTACCGACCGGGACCCGCAGCGTCAACTTTTGGTTGGGGAAGGTGGATCCGCAACACGCGGGGAACTACACGTGCGCCTACGAAGCCACTGTCAGGGGGAGCCGGCAACGTTTCCCACCCAGCGAGACCGTGCAACTCCGAGTGGAAGGTGAGTCCCGGTTTTCCATCCCCTCGTAAAGGCGCACACAGTTACAGCGAGCATCGGGAGGCGTCCCGCTTCCTGGTTGTTGCAAAAGGGGCGCTATATCAAGGCAAGCAAAAATGCTACGGCACCAAATACCAATTACTTGCGGTACCCCACCAGGCACTGAATTCGGAAGGACCTCCGTTTGTTCCGTTCACTCTTGGTTTCCGGTCCACGTGCACCTCGCCATTTCTGTA